CAAACGATTTTTTATAAGAGATTTGTATATATTTAGCTAATATTACACCTATTCTAGAAAACTCGAAGTTGGTGTGGTGACAGGTCTTGATTAAACGATTTACTTTTATTATTGTGACATCATCTTGAAGTGCTTGGATACTCATTGCCTTTTGAAAGCTGCTACCTAGCTTCGATTAACAGAATCATCAAAGAAATGGCATCTCAAGAAGAAACAACGACCTTGGAGTGGTTTGGTAAGGGCTGCACGACTTGTTTGAAGTATTCAAAGCTATTGATGCTGATAAAACTCAAGGTGCAACCACTTTTAGGCTCAAGACCAGAGGACTCACTATCTTTCTCGACACTTGGCTCGATCGTCCGACTGCACTTCCCTCATATATCTCTATCGCCGATGTGCGCGAAGCAGACTACATCTTTATCTCACATGCTCATTTTGACCAGTACGTTTTTGTCTGTTCTGCAATATAAAATTTTGTTAGTTGACACTTCTGCTTAGCCTACCAGGGGCCGACCGATTGGCCTTGCAAACGGGTGCCATCATTGTCGCAAACTGTGAAGCAATCAATTTGCTAGCAGCAGCAGGTGTACCTGAAGATCAACTGCTAAGAGTAAGTGGGGGGGAACGAGTACCGCTTTTCACAAAGAACACCATTCAGCAAGCAAAATCAGGCAAGTGTCCACTTAGACCAGGGCCTCCGGGTGCTCCACCTACACCACATCCATCTCTTGCTGCTGTCATAGCCCATATCTGGCCGTCGCTACACTGTTTGATGCCGGGTGGCCCAGACTTTCATCCTGAAGAGATTGACAGTGGCGAAGTCTTTACAGGAGAAGCACATCCGTGTCTATGCACTGTAGATATCAATCGGGGCATGAAGTATGGATTGTTCAAACTAAACGATTCAGTGCCACAAGAAAAAATGGACGCTGGCATGACTTCTTTCCTGAATTACATCGCGGATCGCCAAAAGAATGTCATGTCTCATCATGATGGTGGACAGTTGATGGTGAATTTTCAGATCGGCGAGAAGGGTTTATTATGGAGCTCACATTTAGGCGCATACGAGGGCATTATGAAGTCGATCGAGCCGAAACCAGAAGTGGCCATCTTGGGTATCGCTGGTAGGGCGAATTTGAATGGAAGACCGTGGGATGGCTCGGCGGCACAATTTGCACTTCGTGAGATTCAGTGGCTTAGGCATCCGACAACAGTGATTTGGTGCCTCCATGACGAAAGGTGCGTTCAAAATCTTTGATCAGAAATAACGCTTATACGTAAGATACAGTTGTATCAGGCCGTATCGCATCAACACAAAGGCAGCAACTGAACTGGTTGAAACACATTCCACGTCAAGAATTCTCGACTTGAAGCATTCACAGGCTTATGGATTTCGTATTTAATACTCGGTAGTCTGAAAAAGGTGTAGGAAGAGTATGCGAAAGTAGCTGCTTGTTCTACTAGTAGCTCAGCGGTAG